CCTTGACAGGCTTAAAGATATTTATAACTTCTCTTCAGCTGTATACATACACTGTCGTGTTTATTACTTTCAGGTGACTTGAAAGATGGTAAAAATAAGTCAGACAAGAAGGATCAATCCAATGTCGGAAATGATTCAAAGAAAACAGATGGTAAGAATATAATTCCCATTAAGTTTTCCATAAAATGTGCAATATAATGCAAGCTTGTTAGAATTACACCTAAAATTGAAGTCATGGTTGTTAATATATCTTTATATTATATCTTGAAAACATACTCTATTACATTTTTAAAGCACCATTTTATTATGCTTTTTTCAGTAATTTATAAATTATTGTTGGATCTTTTCCATTCCACCATGTTTTCTCTATCACAAACGCTTTCTATGCTCTTTCTTTCCCCATATCTACTTTCCATCTTAAGCTTTATAGAAGGTTAATTCTGGACTTGCTGATTGTATTGAAATGGAGTAACACATACTGCTAAAATGTTTACAAGTCTTTGGTCAAGAATTTTGCAGTGTAAATAGGAAAGATTTTATGTTTTCTGCTTTAGCAATTTTTACATTGAATGAGTTATAAACTTTGGTCAGAAGAAAAAAAAATCAGGGATCTCTATAGAATTACAGGTTTTCCCCACTATCTAAAAGTAGAGCGTTCCTATGAAACATTTCATAAGCCAAAATAGAGTAAGTGAAGAATCAATTACCATTAACTTACATGGGAAATATTTTTGAGTGTTCCCTGACTAAAAAAAAACAACCTACCAAATTATACTAAATAACACATAAAACCTAAAATAACACTTAGATATAGTGTTCACAGACAATTCAAAGCTTTGGTGACTTGATGCTGAGTTGCTGAGTGCAGTTCCAGGGGAAAGTTATAGCAACAAAATTCTTCCTGCTTGGGATGCGTGCTGCCTCTTTAAAGGGTCTCTGCAAAACAAATCCTGAACACTAGTTTCACTTTTCGTGTTTTGTTTTATTTCATACAAATGAAAATCCTCTTTGGATTTCTTTTGGTTAATGAAAATAAGTAGGTCTTTCATAAAAGCAAAGTGGCGTAAAACAAACTTTCAAAAAGCAGGGATCCCTGTATCATTAGGTTGGGAGGCCCAAATGCATGCATAGCTGTAGAATAGTTTGGCCAGCAAGGTTTAAATCAAGGCTTTAGATGACTGTCCCAGAGCTAAGTTAGAATGAACCTACATTGTAATGTCCATCATGAACACTGATTTTACTTTTCACAAATAGCATTTCATATGTTCTAGAGCTCTGGTGGCATAGTGCCATTTGACTGCTAACCAGAAGGCTGGCAGTTCAAATCCACCAGCCACCCCTCGGAAAGATTGGGCAATCTACTTCTGTAGTGATACTGCCTCGGAAACCCAAGGAGGGGTCTCCATGAATCAGATCTGACTTGATGGCAGTGAGGAGACCTGAAACCACCACTCATCTGTCAGTTTATCATACTATGGTGACTTGCGTATTGCTATGAGGCTGAAGGTATTGCAAATGCCAGCAGGGTCAGCCATGGTGGACAGGTTTCACAGGAGCTTCCAGACTGGAAAGAAGGAAGGGGCCACCTACTTCTCAAAGTGTTGGCCAGTGAAAACCTTAAGAATAGCAGTGAAACAACATCTGATGTGTTAATGGGAAACTTGATTAATAGCCTTGAAATATTGTCTGATACGGTACCAGAAGATGAGCCCCTCAGGTAGGAAGGCACTCAAAATATGACTGGGGAAGAGCTGACTTCTCAAAGTAGAGTTGACCTTCATGACATGGATGGAGGAAAGCTTTTGGGACCTCCATATGCTGATGGGGCATGACTCAAAA